GGCCTCAGAGAGGAGTCTCAGGGAGGGAGAAGGGGAGGGGAGGGAGGGGAAGGGGGTTGGAGGGGAAGGGGGACGATGTCAGGTGTTGTGGACCGAAGAGTTCGCTTTCCTTTGGGGGGGGGGGGGGGGGGGGGGATGGCAGAAAGAAATACGTTGTTGATATTTCTGTGTGTTTGTGTAAAACTAAAGCGACTTTTTAGCCAGTTTCTTTTCGTCTCCCCTACCTCGTACTGCTACAATGGCTCGTCTCGTTTCATCAACTTCGCTACCTATAACTCGAGAAGATATTTTGCCACGCTTATGACAAATACCGCTGTTGTTTGTTTTTTTGTGTTTTTGTTGTTTTTTTCTTGTCGCTTACATTAGTCGATTAGTTTTGTTCTGTCAAGTGTTTTGGATTTCTACAACTATTCAGTTTGAGCCAGTAACTGACCAGTCATAATAATCGTTGTTAGCCACAATGACTTACGTTCACCGTTAAAAGTCGACCTACAGATAAAGGAAGAATAGGGATACTTCTCCCCTTTCCCGACCGCTGCATGCCAATAAGCTAAATCCAAGACTCTCTTTCCCCTTAGTTTTATGGAAGATAAACTTCAATAGATCGTAGGTTATCTTCTTTTTTCTAAATACAAAAAAACTTTGTTTCTTTTTTTTGTTTTGTTTTTGTTTTTTTGTTAAGGAATGGCAAAACACACAGAGAGCGGAAACATTTTAATCGCCTTGAAGCATCCTTTGAAAATAAGCCTTCCACCTATTCGAGTGAAACTGCTCTATTTGACAGTGTAATGAAGGCGCGGGTGACCAGCGTCAATTTGCTATTTTCTTAAAACGCCTGGAACTGCGCTAAGAAGCAGAAGAACAAACGTTGAACAAACAGGGAAAATACGACAGTGAACCATACGTCGCAAACAAAGCTGAGTTTGAGACGTTTGTTCCTTGTCGCCTTTTACCTGTTTTCTCTACTTCGCTGTTCTATTCGACAGTTGATCGTTGACGACTTCACTTTATTTTTATTTCCACCAATAATTGATTCTTGCCTACCTAGAGGTAGGCGGAAACCCGACTTAACCCCTCCCAAGAATTTCGAAACACCGCCGAGTACACTATTATTACCTCGTTCTTTTTCTGTTCTTTTATCGCGGAGCTGTTTACCGGTTTCCGCGCTTGGATGCCCCGCGCTCGGAACGCGTCTATATCCCGACGCCAGAGAACTTTCCCGTGGCATTATTAAGTGCGCCGGTTGTGTCGTGTACGTCCTTTCGTCTCTCTTTTGTTTTTGTACGCTCATTCTTTTCGGGCACGTCGCATGTGCCGCTCCGTCTGCTGCGACGGCGGAGCTGTGCGGCGCATAAACACCCTTTCGGTGCCAAGCGGAGATCACGTGACACATCCGCCGACGCATCTGCAATTCCTCCTGTTTTTCTCCGGGCTTCGTCTCTCTGCCGCAGAGAAATGCCCGGCCTAGCACGTCACGCCGTTCGGTTCGCAGCAGACGGACTGTATCGCGTAGCTGCGTCAACACCAACTCAACCGTCTGACGTCACTTCAACGCGATGATGATGCTGTCGGTCATGCGCATGCGCAGACGGTTACCCTCCGCCGAATCTGGTAGTGCGGTAGCAGCTACGTGCTCGTGGGACCAATCATACGTCGATTTTTTGCCACGTGATCACGCAGTCCCGCCCCCCACGCGCAGGGAGAGGGAGAGGGTTATGAAAGAGAAGGCAGCTGATTGGTCCGGCGAACGAGCAGCTCTTACTGTGCTATCAGCCTAGGGGTGAATGGAGTAGAGTTGAGGACAGTGTATAACACGACATGCCGCCGTGCTATGAAAATGGCCACTATAGAGTCAGAATCCATCTGCCCGACTGATTTTCTGTATTGAGCTTGGAGCGCTGCAGCCTGGCTGGTTCAACTCTGTCATTTTTTTCGGGACAGTTTATTTCTGGATACGTTTTAGTTATCGATGCTGTTTATTTCGTTATCCACCGATAGTTAAGCTTTTCTTTTAATAGAACGTTTTATTGGTTCCAAATGAAAACGCGGCCTAGTGCGAAATATATAATATCCACGAGCATTGTATTACGTGTGATGCTTTCGGATTGTTCTCATTTCTCGGCTTAGAGTACTTTCATAATTTCCCCAGAGTCGTACGCACCACTTTCGGTAAATATTGACTTACTAGCTTAAAGGGATGTAATATTTCCGAGAATCGTAATAACATCAAACTTTTATCGCCAAAAAAAAAAAAATTAAAAGTTCACTCTTATTCCTCTACACCTTTTCGTACCCACCACCGTTTTAGCCCCTGTAAAGGGGTCATTCCCGCGTCCACCGACGTGTTGAGGAAAAGCAACCTTTGCAGAGGCACGGCCATAGGCTCGATGGTATCTTGGACATAGATAATGATTTGTATTCTCTCTGTCTCTATAACCTGCTGCTAAACGTAATAGCAGCACCCGAAAGGGCTTCTCTTCTTGTTCTTGGAGCGTACGGGGCTCAAGGTTCCCGAGGGCTCTGCTTAAATCCCCGTTTGACTATCTCTTCGAATGGCATTTATTCCGAGGCATTTTAAGCATCGGCACGCCAAGTGGAACACGCATGGTCGAGATCGGTGTCTAATTCTTTGATTTACAAAAACCTTCAGTTCGAAAGCCTTTGAAATTCTCGTGAAACACAAGTACTGTACCGGCACATCCAGGTGGCAAAATGAACTTCACGTGGATGATGAAGTGGTAAAGCCACATGCCGTATGCGTTGCCCGATCATCCCACTGTCGGTTGCACGTCAAAAAGGAGCCCCAGGTGGTCTAAATTGATGTTCACTCCTCCACGGGGGTATGCCAGATGTACATCGTTGATTGGGCACGTAAGCCCCCCCCCCCCCCCCCCCCCAACATTTTATTTTGATCTTTCCACTGTCGTGTAAAGTGTCGCCAAGGAACTAACCCTTTGAAACCCCGACTCTTCGTGGAAGACGGGAATGAAGTTCTGTAGATCGTAACCGATCGGATGCTCTTGCTTCTCTGCCAAACAATGCCCGTGGCTCAATCAAACGAGATAGCAGCGAACTGTCCTTGCGTGGCCCACGTCAAGAGCCAGGTGCCAATGAGAAACGATTGCGCGCCAGCGCGTGCGCGGGGTGCATACGCCACACTCGTGCAAGGACAACAAACGCCGACCGCGAAGGACAACGTTCCGCAAGGACAAGCGCGCGCGACACCGCCGCGGAGTTTCCGCGGCGATGCTTGGAATAGCGCACGCGAAGCATCCACGGCGCCGCCGACAGGATGTTTTGCCCCCTTCACAAAAAGAGTCCCCCCCCCACCCGACGGCATCGGGCAAAACGCGTGAGCACGGATTGCTCGAATTCTCGCGAATCGTGTGGCGTCCTATTCTCCCTTCGGTGCGTGGCCCCGTGCGATTCCGGGAAGGGCACCCGAGGGGGGGAAGGGAGCTCAGTTTGTCGTTTGTCGTAATCGAACGGTGGCGGGGGGAACGGCAAGCCGCCGATTTCTCGCGTCCCGCGCAGCTGAAGTGCAGCGGCTCCCTCTGCGCGGTTAAACGCATGGTCGCGAGTGCGATTGTTTTCTCGATTCAAACCTTGTCAGGGCACTGGGACTTTTGTTTTCTTTGTTTGTTGGTACCCACTGGGACTTTTGTTTTGTTTGTTTGTTGGTACCCAATCCAGAGTGTATATGGAAGTGCTTTTGCAGCCGGGAAAACCTACGCTGTTCGGACCATCAAGGCGATCCGGCGTAGAGCTACGTCTAAGTCCTTGCGGGCTTGAATGAGACATTGCAAATGAGCAGTCCTTCCGATCGTCTGAATCGCTTTAAGTTTAAATAGTTTGCATGCCGGAGTAGCGGTTTCACATTAGCACATGGCGGTCCCAGCGGCATCTGGAGGACGGCAGAATTACGAGAGACATAGCGCTTTGAGGACAACAAAATCTAGGAATATCATATTCAGTAAATCCTCTTCTTGGTAACGAAGTGAACTGACCCTGTATACGTGACGTAACTAATTGATTGTCTCATGTGCCACGAGCCCGGTAAGGAACATCAGGGATCCGACAGAGCTTGCTGCGTCGCTGGTATCGTTTTAGAAAGGTCCTCCAAGATACACAAAAGAGAACGGGCTCTACCTTAAATATGTACTTAATTCAAAAAGAAATAGCTTCAAGTACTTATTAAGTTCAAAATGAGCGTGTTGGTAACAGTAATTAAACATTAAATTAAGCTTCACAACCCTCCTCATGAACTGATTGCAAAGAGAGAGTTGATGGGCATGAAAAACGTGTAGCGCCGATTTGTCATCCATGCCTCTATCAACTATCGGTGTATTGTTATCGTTCTTATTTTCATTAAAGAAAAGAAGCATTAAAAAGCGCAACGAAGAAATGCAATCAATAGAAGAAAAAAAAATGGAAGGAAGACCGAGTGTGCTTCGCTCGCGACCGACTTGGCTTTGTATATCGATTAGTTATTCGCGGCAACCACTTCGTGCTGCGGTTTAAATAAAAATGAAATGGTGTCAAAGGGAAACTCTAAATCCGCGATAGCGCACTTTTATTTCGGCCCAAGTGAAACTGGATATAGAGACGTATCCGAAAGAGCGGGGTGAACGGGACGGGTGCACGCGGACGACCCCGGGTCGCGGCTATTGTCAGACAACCGACTCGGGAGGAAGAGGAGGAGGAGGAAGAGGGGTTCCCCGATGGGGAGCCCCTCAGACAGCCATCGACCAGGGTACAAGCGTCTAACGGGAATCGGCTCCACGTGGTCCGCACGCGCGCGCCGTCTCGGGCAAAAGCGCGAGCGGGCAGCCAAAGAAGCAGCCCGAGGTCCCGACGCGGGTCTTGCGCCCCCCCTGCCGCGGGGCGTCCCATCTGCCGCAGCCGCCGCATTGTGGGTCCGCGTCGCAACTGTTCTTTGTGGCTCCTTGCCGCCACCTGCCCGCCGAACGTTCCCCGCTCTCCCGCTCTCCTTCCCCCAGGTTCGCCCAAGTGTGACACGAATGCGGCGCTGAGGCAAGGCAGCCTGCGAGCCCCCTCCTCCCGGGCGCCCCTCTCTCGGGCGGCGCGTCCAATCGGAAGCCTTCGTCTTGGCGTGATGTCATCGGAGGAAGACTCGGCCGGCGAGAGCCTCAGCTTCGCCCGAGCGAAGGCCAAGAGAGCACGGCAGCCCCGCGTCGACGCCGGAGAACCACGCGCGTCCAGCAACGGAGCCGCCAGCAGCTGCGCCAGCGCGGCCTCGTCCCTGGACCTGAGGTCGCCGCTCCGCAATGGCTTCATGAGTGACGAGCTGGCCGAAGCAGAGCGCGGGGCGCACCTCCTGCGAGACATCTTGCAGCGACGTCGCGAAGACGTCGACCAGGACGACGACGAGGAGGAGGACGACGAGGAGGACGGGGCCCGCGGCGAGACGCCCCCCGCGGGCATGGAGGGCTCCAGGGCCTCGGACGACGAGGCTGACGCCAAGCGCGCCCGCGTCGAGAACATCGTGTCCAACATGCTCCGGGGCGGTGGGGACACCGGCTCGGTCGCCTCGGTGCCCACCGTCAACGGCTGCAAGAAGCGCAAGCTGTACCAGCCCCAGCAGGCGCTGTCCGGGCCCGACGAAGACACCAAGCTGCGGCGCACGGACCGCGAGGCCTTCCGGCAGGACCTTCTCAGGCTCAAGAGCGAGGTGGCCACTATGCAGCAGCGCTACGACGAGATGCGCTCCGAGGACGAAGACATGGACGACGCCGTGTCCGAAGACTCTGTCACCGCTGCCGTCGACGATGACGGCCGGGAGACGCTGCTCACAACGCCCCCGTCCGAGTTGTCCACGGACGCGCCCAGGTCCTCCCCGCTGCGCGACATCAAGCCCCCCGTGCGCGACGTGGAAAGTTCGCCCGAGCCCCGCAACGAGTCCCCGTCCCGTCTCGCCGAAGTGCGACAGTCGTGTATCGTGCGCCCGGTGCCTCCGGCCGTCATGTGCCAGCAGCAAGACATGGACCGACTGGTGTCGGCCATCAAGCACGAGGTGACCGACATCCTGCCGCGCGTCATCGACGGCATCGTGTGGCGCTTCGTGCGGCAGCAGGACGCCCTCCCGACACCCACCACCGTGGCCCGCCGGCTGGACGGCGCGCCGCCCTGCCGGGACGACCAACGGAGCCTGCTCACTCAGATGCTGGACCGCAAGTCCCCCCGAACCAAGGTGTTGGACAGGAGCAGGCACAACGGCCACGGGCCCCGGAGTTCCCCTGGCGAGTCCCACCACCACCGCCCCTTCTTCCCCGGCGGCACGTCTACCCCTCTGCGGAGCGGCGTCCTCCGGGGCACCCCCCCGGCCTTCCCGGAACCGGCCCCCGAGCAAACGGAGGCCATGTCCCTGGTGGTCGCCACCCGAAAGAAGAGGCATAAGGTCACGGACACGCGGCTGGCGCCCCGGGCCGGCGAGGCGTGCAGCCCGCCCAAGGAGTCGCCGGGGTTCCCGCCGCCGCCGCTCGTCCCTGTGTCTCTGCCCACGACGGTGGCCATCCCGAACCCGAGCCTGCACCAGGCGCCGGACGTCTTCTACCACGTGGACCAGCAGCACGCGGCCAGGCTGTTCGAGGAGCACCCCGGCTCCGCGGCGGCGGGACCGCCGCCGCCCCCGCCGGGGTTGCCGCTCATGCTGTCGCACTCGCCGCACGATGGTCCGCCGCACTACGGCGTCGTGCCGTCCAGGTCTCCGCCTCAGGACGACTCGGTCAACGGGGACAGCCAGGGTGGATACGACTCCAGCATGGCCATGATCTCCTTCCTCAAGTACGTACATGCTTCATGCTCGCGCTTGGTCGTCTTGGCTTGTTGGACTCACTAACAGGATGAGGGGCGATCGGTGGCCGAGTGAGTCAATGTATACCGCAGCTTGGATAATGTAGAGCGAAAGATAGAGTTGCCGAACCAATTGATCCTTGGCTCAATGCCTCCTCATCCTAGCCCGCTTCGATATGAATGAGCATCGTACCGGCGTGCGGGCGTGTATCACAACTGCGTGATGCACGTTATAAAGACCCAGGGCTAGCAGTCGTAATGCATTGGCTAAATATCTCGTCAGCGCTTAACGACGCCGCCCCACTCGGGCAGGCTAACCACACGCTGTCTAAACATCAGACGCCTAATAGACCGATTTCACTAAGTGTTCGGCGCATGCGTGAGGCTGCCATAACTTTAGTTCGCAAGATGCAGGCGGCAGTGCTCGAGACGGCTCGTGCCGTCTTGTGTTCTGCACGCGCAGAGCTCCAACGATGTTGGGGCGTGGGCAGAAAGACACTTCCCAAGATGCACTGCGCCAGCGGTGGCATAAGCCAAACTGGCTGGTGCGATCGGTCTATTGACAGGATAACGAGGACAGTCTTTCGCGTGCCCGGAATCCAGCACACGCTCATTGCTTTCCGACGTGCTTTGGCCGCACGCGCACGCTCGAAGCTTGCGAGAAACTGAAGTGAGCCTCGAAAGTAGGATGCTCTCGCTAAAAGAGTTTCCTGCCGGTCCCATTCTGAGAGTGACACTGGTTCACTGAGAACACAGGCTGACGCGAAAGCTCGTGAATCCGACTAGTATTGATCGATTCATCCGTATCGAAGCGTACTTAGGTCGATGCTTCCTTCAGAATGGTATGCAAACTGCGATTAATGTTTGGATACGCCGATCCGAAATAACGAGACTGAGGTTAGCTTATCCCAAATTGATTTTGCTTGCTTGCGTGACTGCTCCTAGAGTTCCTGCCGTTCAATATCTGTTTCAAAATAAAAGAATGTACCTCCTATGGAACAAGTGGCGCAACACACGGGTGACAAAAACGCTTTGCGTTGGGCACCCTGATCAATTAGGTTACGCAAGCCCTGCCAGTAATTGCCATTTTCAAGATAAAGCTCCCTGTCGCTTCTGAGCACAGTAGCGTTCAATCCTGTGCTTTTCGCTTATCACTCTGTACATTGATAGACACTTGAAGTAGGTTTACGATTACAATCTCGTACAACTAATGAACTAATGCGTAATTTTCGCGTGTCCATGTCAAAGCAATTGGAAACAGACAGGAGAAAGTAAGGAACCAAAATCAATGTTATTCTTGTCTAGACATTTGGAAGTACGAGCTCTGGGTGCCGACGGCTTGCTGCTGGTGGGGGTAGATTGTCTGATAGTCAAGCATTGCTGAGGCGTACTCACTGATTCTAGACTGGCGCCGAAACAAAATGTTTTTTTTTGTCCACGGTGGCCAGACTAGCTCTATAAGCGAAACTGCTTGCAAACGTCTATAAGTTGTATAAATATACTGTACTTGAATGCTTTTACTGTAAATGAAGGAGCCGCCAACTTGTGAAATATAAAATTTTAAAAAAATTTAATTGTCACACGCAGGTATCAACCTATCGCCCAATTCAGGATAGAGAAAAAATAAAGGAAAAACGTAGCAACTGAGAGCTAATATTTCTCACCTGTCGAACCGTAAATTCAAAGACCCGAATGAGCCTAAAGATTGCGCGCTGCAACCTGTGCACCTCGCTCCACCAGCCTCAAGTCAGCCGTGCACCAAGCTCATGAAAGATGCGCTTCTTCCCTTGAGCAGCAAGCGCCATTGTCTGGCCACACGCAACGGCCCGCTGACCGCGGTTGTTGCGGCACAGTGCAAGAGCTTTGTTTCTTCTTGAGTTGGGCAAGCGCGAAAGATTATACCTCTGTTTACGGCTCATGTTCCCGTTGTCCAAGCGTGACGCAGCAGTTTTGACGCACCGCCGCGTCCGGCCGCGAGCCAGCGCTGACCAGGGCCTTTAGCGGTCTCAATTAACTAAGGATAGATACCACGTGACGCTATTGGCTGCAGCGGTAAAACTTGTACATTCTTCTCCTCGTGTAATTTCTGAACAGAACGCCAAAAGCTGCTCGCCACGTGGAAACGAACGAGGAACTCGACAAGGAGACTCATTTCTCCGGGAGAAGGCATTGGTAGAGTACCCCTCCCAGACTCTCTATGCCTACTGTGCTGTTGTCCCGAGTTGCGTGTTTGCGTATTTACACGTAACCGTCGTCGTTTACCCGCTTCAATGATCACCTTTTCGTGCTTGTTGCATTTTCGGGGCGCTTATCAACTCTGGATGGCGTATACGCATTCCAAGGCCCGTCTGGCCCACGCTGTATATTTATGTCTGTGTTCGTATGTGCTCGTTCTGTGCGTAAACATTCGTAAATATGTACAGGCTGTGATAGCCGACAGTTTAAGAAACGGGGGGCGCGGCGAATCTCGTACATCTAATTAATATTCCGCGGCCAATCAGATTTCAGGATTAGTCCATGAGAACATCGATGAACCGATCATGAAGCAGACACGAAGATATTAAGCCCCGCCTTGCATTTCTAAACATAGCAGTGGCTCCCCATACATACCTTGATGTCTGCGAACAATATTACGAGATTTCTTAAACAAAAATCTAACAACGAAAAAAAAAAAATCCACACTCCTTTCGGGACAAGCAGCACAACGTGCCTATAAGAGAAACATCGCCTAGAGCGATAACTCTCGAGCGTTTGCTTGTTCATTCACTCTTATGGAACGTGTGAACCTTGAGATATAATTCCTTTTCTAAGGGTCCTTAATCTAATTTAGTTCCATCCCTCTAATCTCGCTTCCAGGAGATAAGTAGACCCGGGCCACTTAAGCTGCCTAGCGACTTGGTGTGACTTTTCAGCATTTACCTTTGGTGACCGGTTACCTACTCCGTTTTATAGTGAGCCTGGCTAGCTATTCACCAACGCGCTCGATATTTCAAGTAATTTTAAATAGTTATCACAAGCTAAAGTGCAAGGCAGCGCCACTCAGTAATTTGGGTATAGACATTTCCAATGAGCCTCCCGGAGCGCTCCAGCGCAGTCAAAAAGTAAATTTGGCACTGACTCTTAAGTCGCTCTGTGTCTGCGAATGTCATCGAGCGAAGTATTTTAGGACATGCTAAATAAATTTATCTTGAACAACTAGAGTAAGAGCGAGCACCCTGTTCCTTCTACTTGAGGTAGTCCATAACGAGGATATTTTATTTCTGCCTCCTGTCAGCAACCACAACTCTCTAGAAGTTTGACCTGCAGGCACTCGAAACTCGTAAATGATGCGATGAAATTTCTATCAGTTAAACTCTCTGTCGAAGAATACAACAGAACCTTAGACGAGCAGAAGGCGACATATATGTACACAGGAAACTGATAGCTAATTGAGCTTCGTTCATTTTGCTGCCATGCCAGAGCCGTCCGTGTACTCATACTCAAACTCCATGTCAAAACCTGACAATAATGTGAATGAATGTGTAGCACCGTGTTAGATCATTGCTCACCGCGACTGTCTATCACGTCTGAGACCGCCACTTAGTCTTTCTTATGTTTGAATACACCTGAGAAAGCGCTGATGTCTATTTATTTATTTTTTTTACGCGCAGGTGTATCTCCATAATTTAAAATGACGGCGTTTTATTTTTATATCGGGTATGGGATTGGGCTCCTGCGATTAACGGTTGGGTGATATAACGCAACACAGTCCTCCCGCTGCTGATCAATTTGCGGCAAAGATCTCTAGCACTTGGGCTAGCTTTTTGTATGGCGTAACTGGAAAAATTCCAAGCGCAAAATGACAACGAACAGCTAAGAGGGGCCCTTTGCCTGTTCGCCTTTTTCACTCGTCCGTTGTCTCTCTGCGCTTTGATTCTTTCCAGTGTTACTTATCAGCTTCTGCGGCATGAGTGATAACATGCTGGAGGTTCGACCTGAACGACTGACGTCTTAGTAATGGAATCTGCTGACGCCGTTTATTCCTACAGGTAGAAGGCATCCCAGTTCGGTTTGACACTTTCTTGCCAACTTTTCTTTGTCCATGAGCCGTGTGCGGACAAATATTATATACTTACCGCCGCAACGTAACATCTGCATGCTAGCTGACGTGTGTCCGTTTCGTGCGTTCTGCTTTCTCTTGTCGACAACTGGACAACCTCAGCGCTCATGTCTGAACCTAGGCAATTGCGTAGGGCTCCAAAGCCACGGGAGATATGACACTTATCACGTGATAAACCTAGCTTATTCGAACAAACGCGGTGTGCGATGCCCTAGTCATGGTCAGTGCGGGATTTCTGGCATCCAAGATTTTGAACATTGATTAAGGCGTTCAACTATGGGTTTGGACATTTCTTGTTTTTTCAAGGTCCAAATAAGAATGGTGGAAGCCAGGGGAGGCGTGGGCTTTCATTAAGGGGCAGGTCGCTACGTGGGATGGGAAATACAGGAAGCCAATTGTGACTAAAATATAGAATCGTCCAAATAATGGTATAATGGAGCTTTGGCAGAAGTATGGGCTTCAAAAAGGCGATTTCCACCCTTAAGACGGCATTGAAGATACATATATAGTTTCTGTTTCTCCGACGTCTTTTCTTTGTGCGTGTGCGTGCGTGTGCGTGTCTGGTCCCACAGATGGCGTAACAAACACTCGTAAAGAAACCTCCTGTGGAGCCGTGTGCAGAATTACAGCCGGCGTTTCGTGCACTTAAGGTTGGTTCTCATATTTGCGTTTTAGTATTATCTAGTGTCTGTTGCAACCGCTTGTCACTATCTCTGACACTCTGGTGCCATCTATCGAGGAGCCCTGGAACACCTACGACCTGCGTATAACAAGACCGAAGGTGTCGCAGTGTTGGCCACATTGAATCTGCTCACTATCGATAAGGAATGGTCGATCATTATGTTGTCGAAATTTATTTTGAGCTCACGGTAAAAAAAATTATTATTAATATATATATATATATATTGATCGAAAGAGTTCCAGCTCTATAGCTGATGAATGGCACCAATGTGCCGGGCCGTTAAGAGGTTACAATGGAACGCAATGTACTCGGGCACATCCAAACGCCAATGTGTGAGCCAGCCTTTAAGCCATCACGAGGCTAAGCCTCCATGTGGAACGTCGGTTCTTGCTCTGCACAAACACTCCAGGAGAATTCTTTTTTTTTAAGCGCTGTCACACTGTTATCATGCACAAGACGTGGTGTTCGCCGCAGACATGATGACATGATTATCTTCGGACACGCGTCAAGCATCAATTCGAAGCATGTTTGTTTCATGTTTCATACATCTACATGCTTCTAACATGTCCGAAGACAATTTTTGTATGACCACTCTGACTGGGGATTTATACAAAGAAGAAACGCCTCATACAATGACTGCAGAACGTTATTCGTAGGATGCATTTCGCAGTGTGACCGTGGCTTTAGATTCCCTGCTCGTGCGATAGACGGCAAATTTCTCCGATTCGTTTGGAGCAGTCGGTAACCCTCGCTACCCTTCCCGTTTCCGGGTGTCCGTCTCCGCCCAGGTACCTGAACGGCGCCGGCGGGCCGTCGTCGCACCCCGGCGGGGGTCCTCTGACCCCCGGCCAGGGTCCCCCGCCCCACGGGGGCAGCCGCGACAACTCGTCGGCGGCGTCGGACTCGCCGGGCTACAAGTCCCTGTGTGGCGGCGGTGGCGGCGGTGGCGGCGGTTACACCAGCACCCTCACGCCCATGCACCTGCGGAAGGCCAAGCTCATGTTCTTCTACGTGCGGTACCCGAGCTCGGCCATTCTCAAGATGTACTTCCCGGACATCAACTTCAACAAGAACAACACCGCGCAGCTCGTTAAGTGGTTCTCCAACTTTCGGTGAGTGGTGCCACAACAACGCCTCCATTGTCCTTTTCTTCGTCCTTTTTTCGACAGTTACTCTTCGGAGGTCTTCGGCCATCTTCGTGCCTGAAATAATTGCCCTCAGTTGCCCGTAACTTCGTCTGAAATCTCAGGAAATGCTTTTCCGTCGTCCAGAAACGTTAAAGCAGCCTGCGATGAAACAGAACAATATTACCCGAGTTCCTTCATACGGTATGTCGAGCTCCGGAAGTGACATTTTCGAATTGTGGCGATCGCTAATCACGTCCGCTCTGCACTGAGCACCAAAATGGCGGCGCCCAGGAGAAAATCGGGGAATAAATTGTAGATAGTCTAAGCGCATACTCTATATATAGGGGCTCCAGACGCGGCTATCGCACGAACGCGACCTTGCCATTTTTTTTTCTTTAAATTTTCTTCTTAGCTGATTAACGAGCGAACCGTTCTAGTTTTAGATCGGTGTTGAGCATTATTTTATTTTGTTTCACTATTTCTGCAAATTCCTGGTGTCCATCTGGAAGGTAACGACGAGACATACCGATCGGGTTCTCGCACTAACTGCGTTGCGTGAGTCCTAAAAGCGTTACGTTGATGACCAGAACTTAACGGCGCACCGGTATCACCGGCCCATCTATTCTGCACTCGAGTGTCCACCTCCGCTACAGGATGTTTGCATAAAGAAGTTTCCGAAGGCACACTTGACTCGAAGACAAAGGACCATCGCGACATCGGCAAGCAACCCGACGCGCGCGTCTCCCGCCACCTTTGTCTTACGAACAAACTATCCATCGCGATCGATAAGCACTTAAGAGTGCGCTTAAGAAAAGGTGCTGAACACGCACCAACCGAGGAATTCCCGAAGTCGCAAACAAGAAGTCGAACACGCTCCTCGCAGCGATAGACAGCTCAGCAGTCCGCCTTCGGACGAAGGGTCCACTCTTGCCAGCTTCACCCATTGTTCTTCGAGAATCGTTTCTTATTATTTCTTCTTTTGTCTCACCGCTCCGTCATGTAGATAATCGGCGTCGCGTACATGACGGCTATCTTCACCGGGCAGTGCGTTATCGCTGGGTCAGGCACAATTAAGTCCGCCAGATTGGCAGGAATTCGTTCGGCCGTCTCCAGCGCCGGTCGCTGATAGCGGATCCACCGCGAACTGGAGACCCGTAAGAGATTTCTTGTGGCGTCCGCCTTCACCTTTTTTTGCGACGTGTGGTAACTCAAGCGACTCTAGTGTAAAAAGTGGCGTAGTGCTTCGGGGGAGTTGGGTGGCGATGGGGTTGGTTGGTGACCGACTGAAATATGGCTCCCCGACCCACCGGGGGGCTGCTTGCCGGTCTTATCGCTAACCGCGCTGGTCGAACGAGCTTGTCGACCGCTCGTGCTGGCTCTGCCCTTGCCCCGCGAAAGAGCTGTCCGCTTTAAACGACCGCTTTAAAGGTCTTGTAGCCAAAATCTGCAAATGGCCTGTAGCCAGTGACAGGCTTAGAACAACAGTGAGGGAATTCGTTTGTCTCACCCCTAGCGCCAGCTTCTTACCTTGGATAAAGCTTAAACGTCTGCTGGGCCTGTAACGAGTGGGCGTGCTGGAGGACGGGTGTCCGAAAAAAACGCCCTGACAGTCTCATTCTGTCAGTGCCTATACATATTCACGGTGATGATGATGGCTATGATGATAATGATAATATGAATGTTCCTTTTGAAATTGGCAAATGGTTGGATCCTTTTGAATCAGAAGGTGACTCGCACCACTAGGCCATTCTCTTACATTTCAACGTAAACAGTTTTAAATAAAGTAGTGACATCTGGCGGGTGACACGTGAAACGCAGTAATGGGGAGCTTCCCCTTCTTTCAGATATGCGATGAAATGCGGCGCGGTCTCGTGGTTGAGGCGTGGAATCTAGAGGAAAAGATGTGGACAATTTGGTCGTTGAATTGGCGAATGGAGACTGCCGTACACTCTTTGTTGTTGTTTCAGCCACACAAGGTGACTGTGCACTGCCTACGCAGATTCCGTTTAGTAATGTTTAATGCGTTTACAAATCTTTGCATGTGACGGTATGTGTCTCAAACGCACCTCCTGCGCGCGGTTTTATAGTGACAAGCGAATGAAACATTAGCTTAAAATGCGAAGCTGCGTTTAATATGGGATTACTAGTTTTAGAGAGGTCTTTCGTTCTAATTGCGTCGACTAACCCCCCTCTTGTTGTCAAATAAATACCGACCCTCCCAAGTCCATAAACGCAGACGTGAACAGTTCTCGTCTAGTTTGCGGTGAAAACGAGTTCCCTAAAAGGGATAGCCGTACCACAAACTTCAACGAAGGATTTTCATTATCCGGCTCGGTTCCCAAAACGACGCTGTGGTTCCACGAAGCGGCGTTTATCCCGGTGTGGCGGACAGTGGCAGGGGTTTATTGACCAAGACGAGCACGTGGTCGCGGCCTCTCGTCTCGACCCTCGTGTAAATCACCTCCGAAGACAAAAGCGCCCGGGAGCGGTCCCTATAACAGGGAGTTGATCGGGCGGAAGCGCTGACCGGGAGGAGATGCGGGGGAGGCCGAACCCCGTCGGCGGGAATGGAGTCCCTAGTCGGGAGAGTTGCGGGAATTGAGACAGCAGCGCCATCTCTCGGTAGCCTCACGCACTATGGCCTCACGGGCGCGCGCCTTCCGTTTAGCCCGAGCTGTGATCTTTATTTTATTCGGGTCGTTTATTATGTATAAAGCCGTGGTCACACTGCCTATACATTATACGAAGAGAGTGTGCAGACATGCACTAACCAAACATGCTTCGAATATGCTTCAGGAATGTTCGCAGATAATTAATTATATGTCATCAGGTCCGCAGAAAACTCCGAGTCTTTTGTGTAATGTATGAGTTGTGTGACGCGGCTGATGCGTTCCTTGTTTGTTTTTTTGTTTTTGTCGTTTATTTTAGGCAGAATTTTGCGCAATAACCCGGCGTTTACTTTTTGAATATGTAGCAAGCGTCTATCGGTGTTTATTCTACATGGGCTCGACCGCGGCATCCTATTCATCGCATATTTTTCAAGAAGTCGCCATTATGATGACCGAGTCATTGTAATAAAATGATCATAAACACCGAACAATCAATCAAATGTTCGGCGTTTATTTTTTTTTTTTTTTTTGCCACCGATTTGTCAGAACGATTAATCTGGGTTTTTGGTAAATAGTGGAAACTAAAAGAAAGCCTCGAAACACGAAGCTGTCTCGGTATTTAATGAGGAACAACGATGCATTCAACCCGGTTAGAAAGATAGCAGGAAAATGGGCAACGGAGAGCCGATAGGACTGTGCAGTGTCTATATTTGTATTTATGTTATCTTCCGTGTAAGTATCTGCGGAGCTAATATCAACGTTGACAACAGCCATCGCCATGCTGCCTTTGCGACAAGTATGCGCTCAGAATAGCTGAACTCGATCAAACGATTCCCCCAAATCGCGCGCTACAAATGAACGAAAGCGTCCACGATAGTTTCGTCTATTCCGTTGTAGGCGTATCTCTGAAGAAGTTGAGATAACCCCAACGTCCGCCGCAAGTTTGAAAATACATTGTTTCAGTGCGAGCTAAAATGTAACCTCTTCGGCAGAGCTGACAAAGGCGGGATGTGTGTCTGCGCACCCGTATACCAGATAGTGACAATACAATTGCTTCACGTTCGTAACTTGTACCGCCATTTGTGATAACCTTATCTGTACAGCCACTTGGAATTTTTGTTTCCTTCTGAGGCACGTTTATTCGTGTTACTACAGATAAATGGCGAAATGTGTTTACATTAAAAAACGCTAGCTATATCTAGTTTCATTTTAAGCCCGACCTCAACTAACGCACATTTCTCTTTTTTTGTGTGTGCATTATGTGTTTAGCCATCGGTAGCGTACCCAAAGAGACAACGAGCGGCATGACGAGGCACTTTTGGCTCTGCTTGATTGGCTACGTCGGATCGTATACGCTAGGACTCGGGGTGAAACGGTGTATAGGTGGCGCGAGCCGCCGCCCAATTCGGAGTGTTCAGCCGTATTCGTCCATCCAGATCACTGACAAGGCGGTGCGCTTGGCGATCAGTAATTGTTGTCTGTTCGTTCAGTGTGTCAAGGGTCTGCCAATATGGAGAAGGACAACAAGAGGAAAAGCTGCGGGGGATGTATTGAAACAAAATTACGGTATAGAGAGAGGCCGGCTATATCTGATCGAGGGCGAACGCCGATCGTTGGCTCGTCTTGATTAAGCCTACTTGCCCATCTTAATTAAGCGGCCTTCCTCGTCGCGACACCTGGCTCATTAGTCCTTACGGCAGGATGGGGTTCGTTAGGTTTGACGTCAGGGACTCCTTCGTCGCGACAAGCTAAGCGGTTCCCGCACTCGGAGGAATATCGAGCGTCGGAACTAACGCACGTTCCATCTGAATCAATCTTCAAGAGCCTCGAAGGACATTCGTGCATGCGTTCACGGTGATCTTCTGGCAGAGCTTGGGCATGGACGGTGGGTTTCGCGGGGAGCAGGTCGGGTTACATGATCTGCATAAACGATTCGTCTGCTCGAATATGTCTCGGTACCTAATCTAATAAGTCAATTTGTGTCCTGGAGGACGAATCGTCTAGAAATCGAACGGAGCTGATACTGTTTAGTTCAACTTGAGCTTAGATAGTATTCGTATTAACACTTCTAATTTTCTCTGCATTCAAGCGCAATATGTTTATACCTGCTTTGAATAAGTCTACACGCCTTAACTTTTGAACTAGAAAGTCTGTGAGGCTGCACAATGAGACGATGAACTTCATGGCGGTGTTTGACGGTAGATTGAAGTGGCATCATGCTTTTGAAACTTACGATTGGCTGCGACATTACATTTTGATACTTATGCAATCAATAAGTAGTAGAGCCTCTGAACATTGGCTGATATGCACGCCTATTAAATTACAACGCTTATGCAATTAATGAGCAGTGAACGATGGCGTGTGGACACTAGCTAT